GCTCCCTCCTGAGCCTCAGCAGCCCACCCAGCCTAGCACAACACATCACGAGACACCTGCCCAGTGGGTGTGCTTGGTCACTTCTTGATACTGCTTGTCCTTTTTTTTTTTTTCTTCCCTGGAAGACAAGTACAGAACCGCTGCCCCTCTCAGGAACACAGGAGCTCCTGTCCCAGCAGCTCATAGCTCTGCTGAGCAGCGGGGGACTGGAAGGGGCAAGAACAGTTTCTATTAATAAGCTCAGGTTCACAGACTTGTCCAGGCAGTTAATCCCTTCTGATATCAGAGTAATGATTAAAGACTTGACTCTGTGAACTTTTTTAATCTGTCACATGTAAGCAATTATGCCAACACAGCTCCTCTTGCGCAATTCTGCACAGTCACACCAATTTCTAGGCAGCCATAACTCCGCCTCAGTTCAACAAACTGCTGCCTGAGTGACACAAACAAGATCAAAACTCCACAACAGAAAAAGTTTCCATATCAGGATAACTATGTCACATATATAAATATACTTATTTCTGCACGTACATCAGCCTTCACGGCTTTAACTCTCCCAAGAGACCAGCCCTCAAACACAGCAGCACTGTCGGGAACACCCTCTGAGAGCTACGTGCGATTCAAAGCTCTAGCTCTAGGCTTCTGAGATATTACTAAAGGCAGGAAACGTCGCACAGGAAGCAAAGTCCAGAAGGAAGCTCACGATCCACCTGACACACCATCCACACACACAGTGCGAAAACCCTTGGCTAGGGCCAGAAACACAAATATGTCTCTCCAAGTTCCAAATTAGCTGATTAAGGTCACACTGCTCATTAGCTTAATCAAATCCCACCATTTGTTAAGTGTCCAAGAAGATCCAGTGGAAGAACAGGGATGCTGCAGCAGCCTAGAGATGTCCACATAACTGAGAAACAAAGCAGAAACACCCCCTTTTCAAATCTTGCCACTGTTCAGGCACAGCAACGTTCCAGCAAAAAGAAAACTGCTGGCAGCTGTCACATGGGTTGACACAAACTGAGGTCACCACTGCCTCGAGCCTGTGGTTCACGGCAACTTGAACAACGAGGGAAATAAGGCACGTCACAAACTCTCCTCAGTAGGATCTGGCAAATGCACGGGGAAAATACCACCTCCTGGTGAAGATGTGGCCTCAAACACTCACAGGAACTTCACAAGACTCTCTGAAAAGTCAGAACTTGAAAATACAAACAAACAAAGCCCAACAAAACAACTCACATAATTCATTAGGCAAAAGCTTCCATACAAGCCACTAACTTGGTTATTTACTTGAGCAGGAGCTTGATTACTCAAGTTTGAACAGGAAATAAGAAAACCAAACATAAATTGCCTGTAGGCAAATATGGATTATTGCCACACTGTGTTTGGGGAGAACGTTAAACATTTAAAGGCTAAAAAGCATTCCTG